GGCGCCCAGGAAGAGGCAGAGGCAGGAGGGTCTCCCCGCGAACCCCGCGGTCGGAGGTGGCCCTGCCGAGAGCGGAGGCCCGACTGGCTCCGTACCGGTCACAGACGCTTCCTGAAAGTCGGGGCCCAACTCCCCGAGCCCCAGAAGCTTTAGGCGGCAGGCAGAGTTCTGTGCCTTCTCGAGGCCCCGGGACCCCACGCACATCCAGCTGCGTCCCCAGCCGCTTCTTATTTTTTATTTCGGGACAGGGCCTCGCTGAGTGAGTCACCTCAGCTGCCCGGTCTGAACTCGACTTGGAGATCCTCCAGCCTCAGCCTCCCGGGTGCCTCTTCACGTTGCCCCCCCCGCGCGCATTTTCCCGCCTCTCTGAGCTGAGCGCACCCCGAATCCTGACGCGAGGTGTGGGCCCTGCCCCGCTGCCCCCCCCACAGAAGGGGTCGTTTGCTGGAGAGCAGCAGGGGGAAGCTGGGGGTCGATGCAGACTTCCGGTTCGGCCGGCGGGGGTGGGGCGTGGAGTAGTGAGGCCCAAGGCCACAGCCGCTTCCCGAACTGGGGCGCCTCGTGTTTTTCTTAATTTCAGCCTTATCTTGAGATGGGTCTCACCGAGTCCCTGAGTTGCCCAGGCTGGGCTGGAACTTGGGATCCTCCTGCCTCAGCCTCCCAGAGTGCGGGGTGATGGGCACACAGCCACGCCTGGCTCATCCTCGGAGTTTCCAAACCACATTATGTCTCTGTGACTTCGAGAGAAAGCGGCTCGTTTTCTCCCGTTTCATTTTGATGGTGTCTTTTTTCGTTGTCGTCGTTGTCCCAAAATGAGGCCAAAGAGGAGGAAAGGAACCATCCCGGCCTCCTCATAACGAATTTTTCACGTGCTTCAATGAAACAGGAAAGCCCGCCTGGCGTAATGACCCTCAGCAGTCATCCTAGCAGTTGGGAGGCTGAGACGGGAGGATCTCGAGTTTGAGGTCAGCCTGGGCTGCACAGCAACATCCTGTTAGAAAAAGCAAAACAAAACAAAAGAGAGAGAGGACGGGGCCGTCTGCGGGCGGCCAGGTCCTGAGCCCGGGGATGGGCACCACGTACCCCTGAGGACCCGGTGGCCCGCTGGGCGGAGTACTACGCTGCCGGGAAGCAGGATCAAACATGAATCGTGCGCTGGAAAACGGCCACGCCTTGAGACCGGGAAGTGAAGTGAAATAAATCAGAGCTGCGAGCGCAGGTGTCGCACGCTCTCCCGTGTAAGAGACCCCCGGAGCGTAAATAAACAGCACAACAGGGCAGAGGAACATAACCGGGCCGGGTCCGGCAGCCTCAGGGACCAGGCGCCGCCGCCTCCTCCGTCCTCCACGGCCGGCTGGGCT